TTCAGTGGGCGAGATGGGCTGCAAGTCAGCTTGAGCAGCGGGAGGGCGCGGGCGCCTGTTCCTCTGCTGCTTGCTGCGTGCGCGCTCGCCGCGGTGCAACGACTCGCACCTCTCATCAGTTTGTCTGACCTTCGTGTTGTGGAGACTAGCGTGACGAGGCAGGAGTGTGAATGCATCTCCTGGCCAAGCCCTCCACAAGGGTCTCGGTGATGGAGTGATGACCGGAAAGCGTTTTGCAGATGTTATATGCTCAATCATTCGTCAGTCTCGACCAGGCCGGCTTCCAGCTGCAGCTCGAGACCTCAGCTTCCGTACCGCTGCGCGAGGACGGCTAACGTATGTCAGGCGAGTGTTGTTTGAATCTTGAGTATCCTGTCCCAATCGCGTTCCGTTTGTTAGCTTTCGCTTCAGCGGATCAGAAGCTGTGCGAAATGCGCACAACTTTTGTGAGTGAGCCACGTGGGCCATTGTCTTGACTCACGCGTGTGTGGCAGTCACGAGTCAAAAGTCGCTCCGCTCGACGAAATGTGCTGATGTGGCTGCGTGGCTACATGATGGAAGCCAGACACAGCAGAAGAAGAGCGGGCAGATGTAACGTGCTTTCCATGCATCGGTGGATTACGCGTCCGAGCGGAGACACGGGGCACGGCACGTGATACGATTTGAGGATCCAAGATCTTCTCAAGCCTTTGATCATGAATCATCAAGATGATTCACGATTCGTGATTGTTGACTTAGGACTCTTGCCTTTCGAGATCATATCTGAAGTTCAAAGTTTTTTTCTTTTTGCGCTGATTCCTTTAAAAGATTCCTGAGTCTCAATTGGATGCTTTCTCAAGTCTGAGCGCTTGTCCAACGACGTTGCGAAGCGTCCCGCAAGCCTATGGACCACCTCTGCGCCTAGGGGATCATCAAGAGTCAGGGCACCATTTACGCTTCGAGACGGAATTCAGCGTCGAGCTGCCCTGCGATCCGAGACACGAGTCATAAGTCTGAGCGACACGAGAGTCAAGAGTGCGATTGTGATAGAGAAGACTCACCAGCCTTTGATCCCTCCACGACGAGCCTGAAGAGTAAAAGCTGGACCATCAGATTCACATTCACGATTGCGCTCTCACCACACGCAGACAAGCGCTAACAGTCATTCAAGTCACGAGTGCCTGATAAGGGTGCACTACAAGTCACAGCTTCTCGAGGCTCGCACCCTTCATCATTGGCAAGGCGTGTCAAAGCCAATCTAAAAATTTGCGGTTCTTTGATGTGATCATCGTGTTCATCGTATGGCTTGACTTTCGTATGCTGCCTCGCCCCACTCGGACTTGACGCCCATGTCGAGTGTCGACAAGGTGCCCACCTTCAACTTTCGGCAGACCGCTGCGAAGAGGGTCGTAAGCATGCTGAATTCGATTGCGTGAGTGAAACGATGGAGTTGCCCACACGCGCCCGCTCGCCGCCAAGTCGTCACACGCTGCCCTGCCCTACCTGATTGCAACGCCTTGCTTGAGCGCATCTTAGTCACGAATGCTCGATCAGCCAGATGCTCGCAGCAAGACCTATCTCCATGATGAGCGGTGTCCAGCTTTGGCGCAAAAAGAGGCCTCGGTCAGACGGGTGCTTTTAGATGTGACCGAGTATACCAATGGAAGCTCCAGTCACGAGGATTGAGTACTAGCTTGATGACACGCTCTTGTGCCGCGCAATGTCGTACCAAAGTCTCTGCTCGTCACGACCGAGTCGTGACGTTGCCTTCGTGCTCCCAAAGACCTGCATTTTCCCTTCCAAAAGAATTCATGCGACATCCATCTCGGACGCAAGACAAGGAAAGAGGCCGCGATGAAGCAGGTAGACCTGCCGACGGTCGAGATCGAGTCACGGCTCAGCGCAATTCGGGAACACTAGCGTGACCAGAGCCGTGGATCAAGAGTCACATTTGCACGAGTCGTGAGTGTGATTTACGGTCGTAGTGCTTGATCGAGTCGAGCGCAGTCAGAGTTGGACAAGCCGGCTGACCGCCCCTCGCGCGGCCGAAAACGCCGATCATTTGCTCTGCGCGCGTGCGACGACGCGTGGGGCGGAGCTCGGCTCGGTGGGGCGCACAACGGCATCATCAACGCAGCGCGTATCCGCGCGCGGTTGGGGCCGCACGTATGCGGCACGAGGTCACACGCTCGGCGTCAATCTGCTGGGCGCAGGGGAAATGCACATGCGCGCATCCATCACCAACCATATGGCAGCAGCAGACGTGTGATGAGCGCCACAATGAGGGCGCGTGCGCCGCATCAGCAGCAGCAAAGCGCAGGCATAGCTATGCTGTACAGCACACACCACAGCAGGGTCAAGCGAAAAAGACGTGCAGCAAGGAGCGGCGAGCGTAAAGAGAAGTCATTAGGGTGGAGTGGACGCACGCAGCATACATACACATTCCGAACCCTCTTGTGACTGTACCTTGACTTGCCACTCCATCACTCCAAAGCTGGCCACTCGGCGTGGCAACACCCTGAATTGCAGTCATCCCAACGCATTGGCCGCCGCCAGTCAAGATGCTTCGCGCAGTGCCGCGCCGTTTTGCGGTGCGAGGCGCGCCTCTAGCGAGCCTGAGAGCGCCCGCTCCAGTGACCGCCTGCGCCAGCGCCGCCGCCAGCCTCAGCAGACCGCTGTCCACGAGCGCGGCGACCAGTCGAGCAGCACCCGTTTCTCGACCCAACGCTCCCTCGGCATCCGACTCGTTCATGCACACCAACAATGCCTACTACGTGGAGGAGATGAGGAGGTTGTGGGAAGAGGATCCCAAATCCGTTCATTCTTCTTGGGACGTCTACTTTAGAGGAATCGAAATGGGTATCAAGAGCGAGGGCGCTTTCAGACCTCCCCCTACGCTCATGCCTTTGCCTGTAGATGCACCTCCCATCGACACCTCCTCCCTCAGCCAAGGCGGCGAAAGCCACGTCGACGATCATCTCAAGGTGTGTTCACATGGCGGCCCAGTCCAATCGTTCTCGCGCACCGCGATCTCTGACGCTCTGCTCGTACCGCGCCACAGCTGCAACTCCTTGTCCGCGCCTACCAAGTGCGAGGTCATCGCATCGCAGTATTGGATCCTTTGGGGATCTTGCATCCTGACTTGAGCGATGCCGTGCCCAAGGAATTGACCATTGAGCACTATGGCTGGTCTGACAAGGACTTGGATCGTGAGATGCGATTGGGACCCGGTCTATTGCCCAACTTCATCAAGCACGGCAAGGATCGCATGACCATTCGCGAAGTCATCGATGCCGTCAAGCGTATCTATTGTGAGTTCCGCGAGTGAAGATGATTGCGTGGGCAGCCGTGCTGATGCGCCGGTGACCACCACGCAGGCGGATCCATCGGAGTTCAGTACGTTCACATTCCCGATCGCGAAAAGTGTGACTGGCTGCGGGAGCGCATCGAGCTGCCAGAGCCGTTCAAGTACAGCACGGAAGAGAAGCGCACCATTCTCGATAGGCTGATCTGGTCAGACTCCTTTGAGCGCTTCATTTCGTCCAAATATCCCAACGAGAAGCGTTTCGGCTTGGAAGGTGGCGAGTCGCTGGTACCGGGTGTCAAGTCGCTCATCGACCGCACCGTCGAGCACGGCGTCAACTCCATCACCATCGGTATGCCTCACCGTGGTCGTCTCAATGTCCTGGCCAATGTTATTCGCAGGCCAGTGGAGGCCATCTTGCACCAGTTTGCCGGCAAGAGCGACGACGGAGAGGGAGGCGGTGATGTCAAGTACCACCTAGGTGCCAATTATGTGCGTCCAACACCTTCCGGTAAAAAGGTGGCGCTGTCTCTTGTCGCAAATCCCTCTCACCTGGAAGCAGAAGACCCGCTCGTGATTGGCAAGACTCGCGCGCTGCAGGACTTTGCGGGTGACACTGCTCGCGAGACCAGCATGGCTTTGTTGATGCATGGAGATGCCGCTTTTGCTGGACAAGGTGTCGTGTACGAGACGATGGGCATGTACAATCTGCCCAGCTACGCCGTTGGGGGTACGATCCACATTGTCGTCAACAACCAAATTGGCTTCACCACGGATCCTCGTTTTGCCCGATCTACGCCCTACCCCAGCGACATTGCAAAAGCCATCGACGCACCCATCTTCCACGTCAACGGCGACGACGTCGAAGCCGTAACGTTTGTCAGCCAGCTGGCCGCCGATTGGCGCGCGAAGTTCAAAAAGGACGTCGTCATCGACTTGGTGTGCTACAGAAGACACGGCCACAACGAGACGGATCAGCCCAGCTTTACGCAACCTAGAATGTACGAGGCGATCGCCAAGCAGCAGCCTACACTGACTCAGTACGCTAAGCAGCTGGTCAAGGAGGGAAGCTTTACGGAGCAGGACATTGAGGAGCACAAAAAGTGGGTTTGGGGTCTGCTCGAGGAAGCTGCGGAGAAATCGAAGGACTACACGCCGGGAGAGCGCGAATGGCTGTCCGAGGCGTGGGATGGTTTCCCTTCGCCCAAGGAGCTCAACGAGCTGATTCTCGATCATAAGGACACTGGTGTATCCAAGGAGCGCCTGACCGAGATTGGACATGCGGTGGCTTCCTACCCCGAAGGTTTCACTGTGCACCGCAACCTTGCCCGTATTCTCAAGGCGCGCGGCAAGACGGTCGACGATGGAGAGGGCATCGACATGTCCACTGGTGAAGCGCTCGCTTTTGGCTCCCTCGCCCTCGAGGGCAACCACGTGCGCGTGTCTGGTCAAGACGTTGAGCGAGGCACCTTTTCTCAGCGTCATGCCGTGCTGCACGACCAAAAGACGGAAGAGACTTGGACGCCGCTCAACAATCTTTCCAAAGAGCAGGCGCCGTTCGTGATTTGCAACTCTTCCCTCTCCGAATTTGGCTGCCTCGGATTCGAGCTGGGCTTTAGTCTTGTGGACCCCAAAAATTTGACGGTGTGGGAAGCTCAATTTGGCGACTTTGCCAACAATGCGCAGTGCATCATTGACCAATTTATCGCTTCTGGAGAGAGGAAATGGTTGCAGCGCACGGGTCTTGTGATGAATCTGCCTCACGGCTACGACGGACAAGGACCTGAGCACTCTTCCGCCCGTCCAGAGAGGTTCCTGCAGCTGTGCGACGATCACCCGTTCCACTTTCCTTCGCCGGAAAAGATGAACCGTCAGCATCAGGATAGCAACATGGCCGTCGTGTACTGCACCACCCCCGCCAACGTCTTTCACGTGCTGCGCAGGCAGGTCCACCGCGATTTCCGCAAACCCCTCATCTCCTTTTTCTCCAAATCGCTCTTGCGCCATCCTGAAGCTAGAAGCAAGCTGGACGACTTTTTGCCAGGCACTGGATTCCAACGCTACATCGCCGAGCCGCACGCTAGCGAGGGCAAGGATGAATTGGCACCGCCCGAAGAAATCAAGAGGCACATTATCACCTGCGGACAGACCTACTTTGCCCTGTTGAATTGGAGGAGGGAAAAGGGAATCAAGGATGTGGCAATCAGTCGCATCGAGCAAATCTCTCCCTTTCCCTACGACATGATTACGCCTCATTTGGACAAGTACCCCAATGCGGATTTGGCTTACGTGCAGGAAGAACCACTCAATAACGGTGCTTGGTCTTATGTCCAACCTAGATTGAGAACGGCTTGCAGACACACCGAACATCACAAGGACACCCTCGCCGTTCTGGCTTCCAGACCTCCCTACGCTTCCGTCGCCACCGGCTCCAAGCGCGCCCACCAGGCAGAGGTGGAGCAGTACCTCACCGACGCGTTCAACCTCGAGCGCGTCGCCAGCGACGGTCACTAGCCGTGCGCCACGCCCATGCCTAGGCTACGAATATGAATCGAAATCAATGTATTGCACGAGACTGAAGATGCTCGAGACTGCGCGCGATAACCGCGCCCAAGCCGCTATATTAGTGGGCGTGCGTATGGGACTCGTGTGAGGAATGGTCAAGGTGAACGTGGTGCGCGTGGTCGTGTGCATGAGTGTGAGAGTGCGAATGGTCGTGGCTGTGGCTGTGGCTTTGGTCTTTGCTCGCGCCTTTGATCGTGCCGTGGCTCTGCCCAGCATCATGGCTGTGATCGTGGACATGGTCGTGTGCAAGACTATGAGCGTGACCGTGCCCATTGTGGGAGTGAGAGTGATCCTGATGGTTGTGTGTACCGTGATCGTGGTGATGATGGGCATGATCTTGGTGCGCGTGTTCGTGGCGGTCATGATCATGGTGACGATGGGCAGAGTCGTCGTGTGCGTGTGCGTGATCATGATCGTGGGCATGATCGTGCCCATCATGCTCATGGTCACAGCCGGATCTTTCTCTGCCCTCTCTACTGCACTGAATGACCAGTTCACCAGCTCTCAAGCTACCCCTCAAGCTTTCTCCTGCACTAGCTCCCGTTCCCGCTCCCAAAGCCGGTGCAGCTAATTGCCAAGCCCACCTAGTCACATTGAGCACGTCCGAGTCTGTCGCTTCCTTGTGCAAAAACACTTGCACATTGGCGATGAGCGACGCTGCCTTAGCAGACCTCGGACCCGTCTGTTGCACAGCCGCACCGCCTGAAAGGATCGAAGGCACTTGTCCCTGTGGACCAGACAAGGCGGACGTCTTGGGAGTCAATTGCCACAAGTGCGGCGGTGCCACGTAGGTCACTAGCGGGTGCTCCTCGATCTGCATAGAGTGTGAGGTCAGAACAGCAGTTCTTTGAATCGAAGCCAGCATGGCTACTCACAGTCTTGAGGGTATGCATGAGCTGTACGCTCTGTGTCTGCCACTTTTCAGGCGCAGTCTGAAGAAGGACCTTTCCTAGCGCCTTGCTAGCCGGGTACGCAATATAAATCATCGCGGCGCTCTCCAGACCTGCGAGCACCTTGTCCAGCGCAGCTACCTGAAACGGAGGCATGACGATGCTGGCGAGCGTGAGCACCAGGCTGAAGAAGAGAATAGTCAAGCTGAAAGGGTTGGAGAGCAGCGAAAGGAATGGACCAGCCAGCGTGGCCGGATCGACCAGCACTGAGGCTTTTCGCGCATGCCCTCTTCGGCTCCTAACCGCGCGACCTGACTGAGAGTCTGCAGCCGCAGTAGAAATGCCGCACGCTGGAGCGAGCACTGAAATTCAGCAATGATGCGCATCAGGGTCAAAATTCATCGCAACTCACCAGCGACGAGACCTTGATGATTACCGAGCACCATGCTGCTGATGAGGCCAGCTGCACTGGCAGCCAGCAGTAGCCCGCTAGGCAGGTGCAACCCCGCATTGTCCTCCGCATGCACCTCTTCCGAACCCTCGAGCAAAGCGTGCTCGATCGACTCTTTGAGAACGTAGATGGATGCAAATACGAGGTAAATAGATTGCACAAAGTGCAGCAGCGTTTCGACTCGTTGAGGTCTGTTGGGGTGTAGAGCAGAGGGCAGCGTGAGCTGCGCTGGCGCGCCTCCACTCTCATGTTTCACATCCTAGCACTCACCCGTATACCTTGCCAGCCTTATTCTCCGCCTTAGCTTTGGTAGTAGCCCACTGCCCGCCGGCTTCGCACCAGCTGCCGAGCGCGTCAAACACGACAAGATATCCGAGACCTGTCATGGCTAAAGAGTCTCCAGCCTGTCCGGCCACCCATAGTCCCGCTCCTATACCAAAGTGCACCGCACCAAACAAGAGGAGAGGTCTGGCGGAAGGTGGCAGACCGGACAAGTCCGCGAGGGAGCTGGAAGAAGAGGAAGATCCGAATGCGGTCGCAGCTGCGTGCGGTGCGTGACGTGGGCCTGAATTGTCCAGCGACGAAGGAGCATTGACCTCCCAAGGGGGCACATCCGAGCCGTACTTGCCCGTCGCTGCGGATACGGGAGACAGAGGACTGGCAGATGACATCCCTCCAGCCGACACCTCGCTTGGGGAAGAGCCGAGGCTGTGCGTCTGAAGTCCGCCTCTGGCATCCAACATCGCCGCATGGTTGACGGAGTGTTTTCTATGATGTCCTCTTCTGCTCCTGCTGGAGCTAGATTGCAAGTTGGCACCTCCATCGGCGGAAGCCGGTGCCAGAGTTGCTTCCGTCGTATCGGCTGGAGCTGCGCCAGAAAAGTTTCTTGCCGCTTGAGCAGCATCCGCCTCTGCCTCTGCTTCCGTACCAGGTCTCGGGAAGAATGTGGACAGGTTCCTGGCATGAACAGTAGAGTGCATGCGGCTATGCTCGCGCCTCTCTGCAGGGCTCATCCGATCCAAAGCGCTCTGCGAAAGTCCACCGGATGTCAGTTCCGATGACGCTGATGAGCTCCGTCTGTCCAACGGCAAAGTCGCATCGCTCGGGAAAGCATCTAGAGATTCGTAGGCCTCCTCCTGCTCCTCGGCAACACGGGATGCCTTGGCTGCCTCGGTCGCGCGAGCCTGTTCTCCCTCTGGGAAGCCATTGAGCGATGGAGTTGCTGGTTGTACACTGACGCGGAGCGCCGGCAGCCCGCCCTTACTTTCCGAACTTGTCTCTCTCTCCATGTCGTGCCTTTCTAGCGCAGCCCCTGCACCTGATGCCGTCTCAGGTAGCGGCACCGCCTTGCGTTCAGGGCTGCCCTCAAAGGTAGAGCTCGATTTCCTTTCCCTCGAGTACGATGAGGGGTAGCCTGCGCTCGCAATGCCCAAAGCCTTGTTGGTGTTTCGCAGCTGCTCAGCGCTGAGACTACTACCACTGATAGTGCGCGGTCTATTAGGGCTCGTTTCGGATGCTGGCGAAAGAGTGGATGGATAGCTGCCAGACGCGAGCAGCACAGACGGAGCTCGAGCGTGGGTTGACCCCGACTGTTGACCTTTGGTCGACCCGCTGGACGAATTGGAGGCTCTCCTCCCGCTCAGATCAGGCCTTGCGACGTCTTGACCCTCCTCGGACGCTGGAGGGAATAGCGTAGATGAGATGCTCGGCCCACGTTCTGAAGAAGAAGAGACCGGGGAGGAGGTTTCTTCGTATTCCCTCGTCAGAGAGCGCACAGACTTGTGCTTCTTCTTTTGTCCAGAGGCAGCAGCTCCCGCTTTAGATGTGAAGCTCGTGTCGCTCTTGGCCGGGGACGTGGAGGGAGAGGTAGATGGGACGACGTCTAGGACGCCTTGCTGCGCGTCGTCGATCTCGACAGCTGGCGATGAAGGCGAAGATGAGGCTGGCATAGCTTTTACATCAGACGGACGATCTTGCAGCTGCGGAAAGTGAGAACGGCGGAGCCCACATGCAGCAAGCAGAGGCGAGTCACCAAGTCAGTGAGTGTGATGGCTGAAAGAGGACGCTGTGGTGCATGCATGGGCGGCGGTGCGCCTGTATGATGACAGGCGCAATCGGCGCAGGCGGAGAAGAATCAGCACCTATGCTTGCGCAGCACGATAGGCTCTGCAAAGAAGGCTGCTGGCCTGCGACAGCTATAGCTATACAGCGACGACCTCTGCGATGATGTTGCAGTCCGGCTGTGTCGCACGGATTCCGTATAAATGTGAGCTCAAGTCTTGCTATCCGACGATTGAAAGCGCTTATTAGCTCAAATGGGCAGGTGGGCGCAGTGAAGTGTGCTGATGAGACAGACGAGTTGCAAAGTCGTGAGTACACTCTCATCCGCGCGCACTTTTGCTGTTCGTGCTTGCCTTGCTGTGAAACGAATCGTGAATGCGAACCTCTTCGGTCAAAGCTAGGCTGGCAGGCCACCTGCTGCTGTGTCAGAGTCAGCAGACCCGCGGAGACGCGCGACGCTGCTGAGGTTCTGCGCCGCGCGCTCATCTCGGCCAGCACCCTCGCGCGCTCCTACCGACATCATCTTCGCGCCCCGCATCCAGCAGCATCAGCAGTAAGTAGTAGTACACTAGTGTGCAGCAGCGGCTGCTTGCACAGCAAATCCTTTGCCAGCCGACGGCCAGCATGCACGCGCCACACAACGTGCCGGTATATGCGCCTCTTCATGTACCGTCTGAACGCTTGCGATTAGGGTTACGTGCAGCTGATTGAGGGGCGGTCGTGAGTCTTGAGTCTTGAGTCCGAGCTGGGCTGCGCACGGTCCGCGCCTCTTTGCGTGTATTCGTCGTGGTCGTGGCGGTGCTGCTGCGTTCAATGGCGTGACCGTTTTGAGTCGTGCGCCCAAGCAGCCATCCAGCCCAGCTGTGGGGGTGGGCATCGATCCCCAGCAGTGATCATCCAACCTTCGTCTGGATTCAGCAGGCATGTCAATCGTGAAGCATCACTGACAGAACGAGACAGATTTCGAATGTCGTCGTTGTTAGCGTGGACGTTGTGACAGCCACCAGCACTGTGACTGAGATTTCAATGTGAGTGGCGTGAGTGTGTGTGGCGAGCCTCGACACATGGACACATTGGCGCCCATCAACAACCCAAGCCTTCTAGGACGAAGAGGCGCTTCTCTGGGTAGCCCATCGCTATCCCGCCCACCTCCTGACCTCCGAAACATGCAGAAACAATAGTGATGGTCTGACATACTCTGACTCGGGTCCAAACACGCTCGCGCCGTTCGTCATCAAGAAGGAAGCAGAGACATCACTCTTCATTGTTGCTGGGCCAGCATGTGGTCGCGATGAGTGCCCGGCGATCAATCCGGAATGGCACAGCGTAGCGCGAGCCCTTTCGTCTATAAAATGGCGCACCCCACGAGCGCGAACCCCCTCTGCTCAGCATCATCGTCACCATTTGAACCTGTCCAAAAGCCTATATCTTGTTTTCTGCACTACAAGAGCGACCGAGATGAAATCACACGCCAAGCTATTGGCCGCAAATGCCATTTTTGCCATGACCACGGCTATTTCAGCGTATGCAGCGCCCTCGACAAAAGCTCCTGAAGCATATACTGCGCTGCTTGCTTCTAGGAAACATGGTCCAAGTTCGACCTGTTTCCCTACCAGTGAGAGTGAGTGTAAGAAGTGATAACCTTACCTCTCGCAGCGCCTCGTCTGTTCTGAAGGCGATGCAAAATTCGGGACGTCGCTCAAGCATCTTGCGGCCGGAGGCATACCTCCATATCGACACTGAATCCCTATTCGTTGGCCCTATCATCTTCAGTCTGCTGCAAGCCATACGACTGTGGTCAAGGCAAAACCTGCTATGAGCCAATCCTATGCTCTGACGAGTAAGTAGGAGTCTTGTTGCGTACAGCCGTTCTGACCAGAGTAGCTGAAGATGTTGCTTATCATGACGCCTTGACGCCAGGCCTGGCCATCATCCTTGACAGAAGCTCGTCGCATGCGTTTAAGCATCTCACCAGGCGGTTCCGTCGCTCTGCTCTAGTATTTGTGTCTGAGACAATAGCTGCTCCTCTTCGATGACGCACCAAAGCGTTCAGAGGGCTGAAAGATATCTGGCGGGCTGAGTTTCTTCGCAAATTTGCCTGTCACAGCTGTAACATCGACAAGAGTTTCAGCATGTGGTGCGTTCCCATCATTCGTAATTGCCATTGGGCGCATCATCTTCACTTACAACAAACCCAAGGGCGATGAAGAGATCTTGCGTGGTATGACTATCACTCGAAGAAGTACACCGTGTCCTTGTGCGAGATGAGAAGCCCAAAGCGATCATACCGCCATGCAATGCTGAGCGGTTCCGTAAAAACGAAATTGGGTTCATCTTTTGGGTGCGTCGCAGCATCGGGAAAGTTCGCACTTGGATACACGGTACAGAATGCCGGTGAGCGATCGCTAGACCAGATGACGTTGGGAGATTCAAAGCGCCAGATTCGGACGACGTGATCCTCCCCTTCGGCTGCGATTAGTCGTTGGATGGGATTAACGACCACACACTAAGCGCGCAGGGAGGGGCGTTAGCTCAGGAGAAATATGCACACCCTGGACCACAGCGACTCACTAACGTCGTGGAAGCCGTCGAAACATGCCCGCAATACCGCATGGCGATGTTGACGTCCCTATCGAGCCTCAACAGCTGATCACAGCGGGGACAGTCAGGCGTTGCTGGAATGCTAGTGAGGCCCGCAGTCCTAACCACTCACGCTACCCCGAGACGTGCTCACGATGAGTCCGCCGTGCCCGTCATCATCCATGGAGGCAATAGCGCCTTCTAGGCTGGGTCCAGGGCGAACTTTGATATAGCCTCGCTCCAAATTTCCCAGACTAAGAATGTTTAGCAGGCCAGAGCGCAAGCCCAAGATCAACGCGCGATCAGGCATGAAGGCGAGGCGAAGGATGTCGGAGTGAAACTTGAGCTTGTGTCCGGGCGGCAAGTCAAGCTGCTGCCATGTATCGGCGACGAACAGCACCTCTGCGCGTCCGTCTCGCACTGATGCGAGGAGCAGCCTAATCAGCGACGAGTCGCACACCGAACAACCTTGCGATTGCGCCTCACCTCTTGCCGCATACATACTTTTCCTGTCGCTTGTTAGGATGAAGGTAGCATGCGGTATCTCAGGTGATGTTGCATCTTGTGGCCAATGGCGTCGCCAATCTTGGCGACTTCGTTGATGGAAAGCCGTTGCTATCCTGCCACCACGTCTCGCGTAAGGCACGCTTTTTGTGAGTTCGACTGGGTGAGCCGGCTGTCAGCTCGCAGGGTCAAGAAAGCTGTAACGAATTCACCACATAAAATCAAGATCTTTGGTGTACGGGGCTCTGTCAAAGTGAGAGTGAAGCCAGCCGAGTTCCAATGATTGTCCGCCCTCGAGCCGTCGGTCAGTATGAAATGCAGGGCCTTCTCGTTTGCCTGCATGTTCTATGTCTCTGTAAGGTGAGGCAGGCAACCATGTCAAGTCGGAAGGCATCCACAAACTACTGCGCCAGCAAAACAGCCCCTTTTCACCAACTCAACCACTCACTCGAACACTGCAAGACGAGACGTCGTGTACAGTAGCAGTTGCGGAGCTTCAGGACTGGTCTAAATATCGAGGCAAGATCAGTGGTGACACTTGACATGGCAGTCGTGATACCCGTCATCGAGGCACGCGCGCGCGCGATGCACTTACTTGAATACGAAGACTGCTGTCTACGAGGGGCAAGGTCCTTTCATCCTGCACGCTGATCCACAAGCAGCGTATTGCGTCTCCTTTCCTGATACCTCTTGCCTCGCGCACCTGCAGATGAATTTGGGCAAGTCTGTGTGTTCTGTTGTTGATTGAGGGAAGCGGGCTCAGCTGACCTGCAGATCGACGCTACGACAGGGACTCACCGAGAGCTTTGGGCCAAGCTTGGCATAGAATTTCGACTCCGCATCGCCAATCCCTGAAATGCCTGACTTCGCGGAGCAAGCGTCCCATTCGACACGGCGTCTACCGGCGTCTCAAATGCCGGAGGGTCAGCACGAATGATGGGCTTGCGCTTTCTTATGCTTTCCTTTGCTTTCTCCTCAACCACAGCACGTTTAGTCATTACTTTGGATTGCGAAGGCGGCAGCGCAAAAAACCTCTTGAGCTCTCCATCCCATCGCATGCCCGCAGGCACTGCAAAGGGTGGCGCCGACATGACCAACGTCGGCGTTCCGAAATGAGGGGCGTGGCAGCACTTGACGTTTGCGAATCCCCTTTCATACATGCCATCTAGACGTCTTGGAGCAGCGTGCTCAGCTCTGCAAGCGGTAATGACAACCAGATGCTCTGGATTGCCTTTCGGACGGCGGCTATCCAGGACAGCCAGCTCAACAGCCGCTAGACTGCCGTCTGCCCTGCAAGTTCTCGTAACCCCCGTGCTTCGTCCCGCAGTCTCTACCGTCTTCACCGACTTTGCGTCCAGATCGTCTGTTTGCTCATAATTTCGCACCTCATGCTCGGTAGATGATGAGTGTAGTGGAGAAAACACAATGCAGAGACGAGCGTTCATACTTCACTCGAGCTGCTGCTCGCCGCCCCATCTGCAATTCGGTCATCAGATTTTTGATTTGGTGTGTTTTGCAGCGCGGAATCACAGCGTCACGTGATGCGTATCCGCCCTCCACCTCGACTCATGACTTTGACTCAAGACTCACCACTTTGTCGCTTCGCTGTGACGCTGATGCCTGGCGTACGCTCGACTGAAGCTCAAAGCCAGGCGCTCGGGGACCCCGGGCAGCAGCTCTAGGCTCGCGGCACAGAAATGGCTCTGGGTTCTTTCCTTGACCCGGGCCAGTGCGTGCATGGTATCCATCGCCCAGCAGCATGGCTCGTCAGAGCTTAGTCACGTATTTGCCTATTGGCATTTCCCCAGGCCCATGGAAGGTCACGTCGAATTCATTGCGTGTATGACATATGGATTCAAACTACAAAGCGACTTTGTGGGAGAAGACGTGGCTGCTTGAAGTGCAGGAGGAGGATTCGAGACGTGGCCAATAGTAGCAGCAACGAGCGGCCAAGGTGCTCGCACTTACGGGCGCTTTTCGCCCCCCAATTGCACCGGTTTCCTTTCCGCATCGCCTTCGCTGAGCAAAACGACGGCGTACTTGCCGCTGATCCGCCATCCCGGCTCCTCCTTGTCCAATCTAGCAGCTGTCGCCTCGTCCACCCCGACGACCACATCCGATTTGACTGTCCTGAGCGAGACGACCGGAGGTGCGCCATCTTCCGAAGCCAAGGGTCCAATCGCAATGTCGAATGGAGTTTGCGATGGAGCTTGACAGTCATAAGTCAATTTACTGCGAGATGGAGGTGAGGAGCAGGTGAGACGTAGTGCAGGCGAGGCATACAAAAGCCGCCGCGAGCTCACCGATGGTTCAGATCGCCCTTGAAGAAGACGCAATCGCTCTCGGACAGATGCAAAAAGAGGTCGGGAGCTTCAGAAGGCAGAGACCAAAAGCTGTAGCCTGCGTGCACGAATCGTAAGCATAGGAGGGATCAGCGCTTGCAGCTGCGAGTTGTGTACTGCGGCTCGACGCACCCGTACACCAGAAGGGATGTTGCTCTGAGTGCGTGTCAAGTAGTCAGTGATCAGAATGGGCTGTTTCGGGCTGCACCTACCGAGCATTTGTCGTGTGACTCACCATACACCCATTTACCCTCCTTCTCATAGTTCTTCCAGCGCACAGCGAGCTGCCTCAGGGACTGTAGCTGATCATCCGAGGCAGTGCTGAACAGGCTTCCGTACATCATGCTATTCAACAGCCAGTCCCAATCCTTGCGGGTGACGTCGGAGACGAACCAAGCAAACCTCTTCCCGTGGAAGCGAATCTGCTTTGCGATGCCAGACTGGATGAGCCAGTCCGCTACGTGGAAACAAGTGAAGAATATCTCGTCAGCTTTCCGCGATGCACCACGACTCGCGCTCCGCGAGTGCACCCACCATACACGCAATCGCAGTAAAGCTCGAATCCTGCGTTGTCGAGCACGAAGTCAAGCCGACCATCTCTGCCAACAATAGAGGTGTGAGCGTGGCTGTGGACGTAGCTCTGTGGGGTTCCGAATTATCGCTCACTTGATGTTGGAAAGCAATGCCCAGATTCTGTCGATATGGTTTCCAAGGATGTTCTTCTCAGTCGCAGCCAGGTGCTCTCCCCCAGTGCTCTGAAGGTTCTTGATGTCATCCTCAGTCATGTTGATGAGCAGACTTAGATCCGTAGCATTTCCCCACAAGCAGATCTGAGTGAGCTCGTGGAAGATGAGCTTCCTGGCTTTCACTTTCTCGTCTTCGCTAGCATTCGCTTCGTAGTGGAACGGCTCGGCGAAGCGAGTCGAGAGCTCAAAGACGGCGGTGCCTGAGCGAGAAAAAGTGTCGCACTTTTGGCGGAAAAAGACGTCGTAGTCTTTCCAGTGCTTGGAGATGCTGAAGCATTCGTGCAGTCTACGGTACTTGTATGCTTCCGCAAAGAACCATGGACTGTCATACGAGGCGCGTTGGGCATCAAGGCAAGCTCAAATCGGGCGCATGTGCCTCTGTCGGAACCGCCTACTCACGCATCCATGAAAGTTTTGCCCCTGAAATACCTTGCCAGCTCCTTATTCCACAATGCCACATCGCCTTCGCCATCATCGACGACTGGTCTAAGCTTCGCATTCGCTTGAAGATCCTTCATAAGCTCCTGCATCCTCTCGATGCATTGCAGCAGATCGACCATCCATTCCTCCTTGCTCTGTTCATTTAGCGTCTTGATGGTGTCATCGATGGCCTTGCCTAGAATGGTTGGCAAGCGTTTGCCCATGGTCTCGTGCGCGAACGAGAACTCATGGTAGCCTCTGTAAGCTGGCCAAGGAGGGTTGTTGGGATCCACGCGGGACGGAGTCCGCGGATAGCTCTGAGAGGATACACAAGACGTTGGTCCCGCAAGCATCAGCATTTGCTACACATTGCCCGTAAAGCCATCGCTGTTGGGTGTCGAGACAACGAGGCACACTTGGCTTGCTGTAGCCAAATTTTTCGACCCTATCAGAACACTCACACCTCCGCCGAAACCAGCTCGCTTAGGTGGCAAATTACCAAGATTGAGCACAGTCTTGTGCACGGGCTTTGCAGGCCCTTGAGCTCCCGTCGCCGACATCGCGAATTTGGCGGGTGACGCTTCTGTTACTGGTGAGGGGTGGAGACCGACGCGAGCGACTCGAGGCCTTTTCGACGTTGCTAGCTGAGTACGTAAAGTGCAACCGGCACTAGTCTATGGAGATTGGTGAGGAAAGATGGTGAATGGCTGCTCGTGTGAGGGCGCCAAGCTTTCTACAGGACAGCAGTCATGAGTCGTGAGTAGCTTCATGAGACCCTATATAGCTCTTCGTATGTTCCCCTCGCGCGATCCCACAAGCAGCAGCAGGAGCGGCAGGAGCAGCAGGGTTCGCACGGTCCCTTCCCCGTGAGTTGAGAGCGCCAGCAGGAGCAAGGAGCAGGAGCCAGCAGCAGGAGCAGCAGCACGCATGCGTGCATGCAGAAGCAACCTTTTTGGCTTGCCTGTGCTGCAGCTTTGGTGCACCCTGTCCGCTGCTGTATAATCGTGACTCACTGCATGACTGTGGCGCAAGCAACCGAGGGCTCGGGGCCTGTTGCGGAGACGTACGCGGAGACGCCCGGAAGAGAACGAGAGGCAGCAGCAGCAGCAGCTTGGCGAGGGACGTGCCAAAATGCTCGCTCGTGAATTAAGGCACTCAC